TCTCTCTCTCTCTCTCTCTCTCTCTCTCTCTCTCTCTCTCTCTCTCTCTCTCTCTCTCTCTCTCTCTCTCTCTTCGTTGTCTCTTCAGCGCAGCAGGTAGAAGGTACGGGATAAACCAATCTTGTGTGTCTCTCTCTCTCTCTCTCTCTCTCTCTCTCTCTCTCGTTCAAAATCTCTCTCATTCGAACTCTCTCCCGTTCAATCTCTCTCTCTCTCTCTCTCTCTCTCTCTCTCTCTCTCTCTCTCTCTCTCTCTCGTTGGAACTCTCTCTCTCGTCGTTGTCTCTTCAGCGCAGCAGGTAGTAGGTACGTGATAAACCAATCGTGTCTCTCTCTCTCTCTCTCTCTCTCTCTCTCTCTCTCTCTTCGGGCGTCGAAAACTTCGAGCGTCAGAAACTTCGGGCCTGCGGCTATGCCAAAGAAGACTCAGAAGAAGAAGAAGAACGGGAGAGGAAGAAGAAGAAGAAGAAGAAGAAGAAGAAGAAATGGAAGAAGAAGAAGAAGAAGAAGAAGAAGAAGAAGAAGAAGAAGAAGAAGAAGAAGAAGAAGAAAGTCTAAGATAGATAATACCACTTACCTTCACCGGTGGACGACGGGGCGGGGGAGGCCATGGCGTGCTGTGCCGGACGTGACAAGGGGCGCAGTCAGTAGTCGCGTGCTTTCCCGCACTCGTCACTGCGACGAAGTGTCGAAGTGACGAGGACGGCCATGGCTGTGGGGGCCGACGCTGGCCAGTCTGACTTCGGGTGGTTTCCCGCCCGAATCTTGAAAAACTGGTGGCCTATCTGGGCCGCCGATCACATCAGATGGACGGCCCAGATAGGCCGCCAGTTTTTCAAGATTCTGGCGGCCACACTGGACCCAGTTTTTTTTTTGGGGGGGGCGGGAATCCTCCACGGCCCGCAGGGAGGCCTCCCAGCCCTTAAAAAAAATAAAAATCGGCCGCTACCCGTTGGCGCGATTTTCCAATGCGGGGGAACCGGCGAGGTCTACCGGTCCGGTTCCGGTGGGGGAAGGGCCCCCCGGTAGGACCGGAAATTCAGCCCTGACCTGTATTGTATTTTTCTTTTATTTGTTTTCCGATTGTTTTTACTTTTATTTATTTTTTGTTTTGTTTTGTTTTGTTTTTTTGTTTTTTTGTTTTGTGCGGGTGAAACGACACGGTCGTTTCGGGCAAGGCGCGTGACAGCACATTCGTGCAGCCATCACCTGGCAAGAAGCCACCGACGGGTGGCACGTCTTCGTGCACGTTGGCATTTCCCACGTGGCATGGGGCGACGCAGGGCGCGGACGACTGACGTGGTTCGGTCGGGTGACGTGCTTCGAATGTCAGCAGACAATGCCGCGACCTTCAAGCCCTGTTGTGCGGTTTCGACGTTGCCCTCTCTCTCTCTCTCTCTCTCTCTCTCTCTCTCTCTCTCTCTCTCTCTCTCTCTCTCTCTCTCTCTCTCTCTCTCTTGCTCGTTTCTGTGGAAGATGAAAAGACATAAAACGATGGTTGTCGCCATCATCGATGTCTTCCGAGATTGGAGTTCGACGATTGTCGTCTATCTCGAACTCACCTCAGGCATCGGCGACAGCGACAACCGATGAGTCCGATGGGCATACCATTTCGACAGGGTCTTCGACCCCCCATCCCCCCCCCCTCAACACCCCCAACACCTGTCAAACCCCACGCCCACCATCATCGACCTTCGAAAACGGCAATAGCACCGACGACAACCCCCCAACCCGACCCCTGATTTATGACGTACGAACCACCCCCGACCCCCGTCCCCGCTGTCCCAACCCGAGCACTGCCAACGACCCTTCTCTCTCTCTCTCTCTGTCTCTCTGTCTCTCTCTCTCTCTCTCTCTCTCTCTCTCTCTCTCTCTCTCTCTCTCTCTCTCTCTCTCTTTCTCTCTCGCTCGCTCGCTCGTTTATATACAAATCGTGTACATACGTTCGGTAATCCGCACGCGCCACTTCTTCGTCAAGTGCTCACACTCCTGCCTCGGCAAAGCGGAGAGAGAGAAAGAGAGACATAGAGAGAGAGAGAAAGTTCTTGTTCTTTTTCTTGTTCGCTTCTTCTTCTTCTTCTTCTTCTTCGCCGTTTTTTTTCTGAGTCTAAGCTGCTAGCACCACTTCGTCATCGCTTCTTCTTCCTCGTCGCCTGTTCTTCTTCTTCTTCTTCTTCTTCTTCTTCTTCTTCTTCTTCTTCTTCTCCACTTTTTTCTTCGTCTACGCGGCTAGCACCATTTCGTCGGCGCTTCTTCTTCCTCGTCGCCGCTGCTTCTTCTTCTTCTTCTTCTTCTTCTTCTTCTTCTTCTTCTTCTTCTTCGCCGCTTTTTTCTTCGTCTACGCGGCCAGCACCACTTCGTCGGCGCTTCTTTTTCCTCGTCGCCTCTTTTTCTTCTTCTTCTTCTTTGTTGTCGCACACACACACACACACACACACACACACACACACACACACACACACACACACACCNCACACACACACACACACACACACACACACACACACACACACACACACACACACACACACACACACACACACACACAGATGGCGGACGAAAGAAGCGCGACGGTCGCAGGAACGACTGCGCCTTTGCCGTCTGCGTCTCCAACGGTAGCAGTTGACAAAGGGGGGCCATCTGGCACTCCGCAAGCCATCAGTTCACCTCTTCCCCCACCACCTTCGTCATCGTTTTCATCACCGACGATTGGCGAGGGGGGTGCAGCTGCGGAGGATGGGCATTCCACGGCGGACACGTACTCACATGGAGAAGGCGGATGGCGCCACCTTCCGCAAGCGAGGTTCCAGCGAAATGGGGGTTGGGGGGGCGATCCTTCGCACGGTCCGTACGGGTGGGCAGCCATAGCCGCGACCTACAAAAATGTTCAGGACCGGCCATACCCTCCTCCCCCCAACGGACACCTTTACTCGCCGTCGACGAGCGATGACGAAGGGGGAGGCAGTGCCGATGACGAAGGGGACGTTGGCGGCCATGGCGGCGATCAGGGAGGAGGGGATGGTGGCGTCGGAGATGGTTTTTTTTAGTCGC